TCTTCTTTTATGGGTATTTTGGCTTGGCAGCCATTTTCGCACCTACTGATAAGGTGTTGGTGGGGCGCGCGCAGCAATTTATGCGGCTGTCAAATGCAAGCCAGCTTGATTTTTATTGGCAGCAAACACGCATGCCCCACCTACCAATCGCACCCCTCCAGCCAACGGCCCATGGCTTGGCTACCCTTTTTGCTTTTCGGGTAATTGCATTGAGCACATAAATCAATTGAATTGCATTTTCATGCGACAAGTTTGGCCAGAGCCCTCGTGGACCCTTGCCATCATCGGCTGCAAGTGAAAGCCAAAGTAGTTTTTCCTTAGTGCTGTCTTTCATCTTTCCAGTGCAGCGTCCTGTCCGCTGTCCTGCTGTGAAACCCTTTCAAGCGTAGCATAATCAATTGAAATTGCATGCAATGCGTCAAAGCCAAAGCTGAATTCTATGCTGTTCAGCAAGAAAAAAAAAATGGAAATGGAAAGGGAAAGGAAAATCGAAGACGGAGTTTTTCCTTCAAGTCTCGCCCCACACGCTCCCCCATTATCCATCATTATTCCCCTTTATTTGCCACGCTCTCTATCTCAAAGTCAATACTCCAACTATTTCGCCTTCTCCGCATCATCCATTAGTTTTGACTTGCGGCTGCCCCCATTTTGAAACAATTTTGAGGTCTGTGCACGTAAAAAGATTATCAGAACTTCGTTTATTGCTTATCAAATTAAATGATTAATGTTTATTTCGTTCTGTAGTTGTTGCTGTTGTTGTTGCTTTGACTTCTTCGAAAAATGTCAGCAACAGTTCTTTTCTTTTTTCTTCTTCTAGAGTTCCACTGTGGTTCTTGTTATTCATTTTCATTTTCCTCTATTTGTTGTTGTTGTTGCTGTTGCTGTTACTGTCGCTTGTGTGTTTGAGCATTTTATTGAGAAAGTTTTGCGGCGACTTTGCGGCTGTTAACGCTTCGTCGGTTTGCTCGGCTCGGCAATTGGTAGCGGCAAATCATATTTTACTTATTTTGAATATCAAATATATTCGAGCGACACTTGTCAAACAAATTTGCATATCAGCAGCAGCAACAAGTGCCACAGGCGGGTCGGTCGCTCAATCGCTGTCACCGATGAAAAATGACCAAATTTTCCGACACCTTTTTGATTAGCAAATTTTCAATTACAGATTCCAGTCAAAGCGTGCAAATGTCACATTTTATTTCAAAGGCATTTAAGTGGCATATGTAAGCCACATATATTCATAAATATATCTGAATACTTTAAATTTATGGATTAGTATATATAATAACATTATATTCTAATAAATGAATATAGCTGTGTAACATATTAATAGAGTCTACATATATCTCATATACGTTAAAAAATTAGCAACTCATGGTCCACATGAATTACACATATATTCCACATACGTTCCACAAGTAAAATAACATTCCTATCAAAGTCAATTGCCATATGAAATTGATGGTAGTACCTAATCAGATATACAAAAACGTAACTTCACTTGGCATCCACATATGTTCCACATGCGAAATAATTCAATTGCTAAATCATTATACCCTAGATAGTAAATTTAATGAATGTGCAAAATATGTACACTACTTGAGGTCCAAATGGAATCCACATATGTTCCACAAATTACTAAAAACTAATTTTGACAAAAAAAATTATATTTAATTGTAAAGAATTATCATAATTCAAATATATAATATATATAAGTGGAACGTATATGCGTTTCATTAAAACAGAATACACATAAGTTCCACAATTGATTTACTTTGAACCAAGTCGCTGACGCTTAGCGGGGGGGTAATGCATGATCTATAATCCATAACACACGTTCCATATAGAATCCACAATACATACTAACTATATACCTACATATAATATATTCACTTATATACATAGAGGAAATTTCTAATTTATCTAAATATATGTACAATTTAAAGTTTATATAAATTCTATAAATATAAATTCTGTTCTGGCAATTCCCACGTTTTCCACATCTGTTGCACTTACATTCCACTTTTCACGTCTGTCCCACATTTGAAAAGCTTCGCACACTTTTCTTGGCTGTCGTAATAGATATAACAAACGCACCCGCATTCACTGCATATGATCCACATGCCATTAATCAGGCAAGGGGCGGCCCAAACAAAAGTATAACTCATCAACGCACAAATTACAAAGACAAACGATGACTGACAATTCGGCTAGAGTGAGACAAGAGCGAAAGCTGCGACATCAACAACACCAGCATCAGCAGCAGCATCACCAGCACCACTTACTACCCACAATCCACATACGCTATACAGTGGGGCAGAGTTTTTGTTAATTAAACAAATGCCGCAGTGACATGTGCACATCAGGATGATGACTGGCGTTTGGCGTATGTTGAACGCAGCGTAGCGCAGTTTGCGGTTATCCCACTGCAGGGCCAAAATTGTCAACAGCTAGGGGGAAGGGAAGCAGCAGAGAGAGAGAGAGAGAGCGAGTAAGGGGCGCTTGATAAAAGCGCGCACACATACATATACAGTTGCATAGCTGGCGTCGGCGCCGTTCAGTGAAAATGGCTCCGCATGCAATTTAATTTATTTCAATTGCAGCAGAAATTATTACGACAGCCAGCAAGAGGGAGGAGAGTGAGAGAGAGAGACAGCGAGAGAGAGTGGGTCGACAAGATGACGTTGGAGAGCAATTTGCTCATATTTCGTATTTCGTATTTCGTATTTTGGTATTTTGTATTTCTTTGTTTGTCTTTGCCCCACTACAAATTGTTCATAAACAAATTCTGGCGCGAAGAAAGCAAAAGCAGTAAGCGTCAATTTCAATTAAACAGACAACATCATCATGAGCACGATCATGATGACGGTGATGACAGGGCTGATGATGATGATAACGATGGTGCACCCTGGAGGCCTTTAGCCGCGTCGTGTGTGTCTTGCCACACAGCAGCAGCAGCAGCCACCGAGGGAGGCTTAACTCTGCACTGGCTGCCCACTCGTGGCATAGTTAACACTGGCTTCGTATCAGCATCTCCCCGTCCCACTCTCGAGGCGGAAAATCATCAGCGGAAAATGTTGCAAATTTCGCACTGTTCACTGTTCATTCGCTTCATTCAACTCACTTGGGAGCAGGGCAACTAATAAAGCGCGACTGATTAACACGGATCGAGCATGTAAATAGTCATACGATTAATGTGATTAAATGCTTTTGGTGTCGATACTTGAAGGAACATTAAGCATATTTCGATATCCGCCTAGCAGGGAAATGGTAAATTTCAAGCGATATAACTGAACTAATCAAGAGCCACATCTTCATGGAATCAAAGCACTTTCAGCTTACTATTCATGAATTTTTGAACACTGTGCATGTTTGAAAATTAACTGAAAATAAGTTTAATCACTGTGCAATATTTAAATTAGTCTGGATTATTTACTCTTCATAAATTTCTTTATATAGTTTGAGAAAGACATATTTTCTGTTAATAATCTTATTTACTTCCACTTTTTACCACTGTGCGCTGCTCTAGAGCTAATTGTTACCTATATGATAAAGATTGTGATTAATAAACTCTAACTAAATATTACCTCGCACATTGAAATTTTGACTTGATCTAAATTTTTCTTCAATTTTTAAGCACTGTGCTATAAATTAAGCAGCTTAGGTCTATCCTACATTTCATTCATACATATATAATAATATAATATTCAGTGCAAACAATAATTACAATATTTTTAGCATTATTATTTCCAATACTTTTTGACCACTGTGCAATATATTATGCAGCTCAGAGTTATGTTACTTTTCAAACATTTACAATAAATTCAGTATAAAACTTATGAACTTATTATTTTTAGCACACCAAATTTCAATCACTTTTTGACCACTGTGCAATCAATTAGGCAGCTCTGATCACTGAAATTCGTACATATATTATAAATTCAGTACAAAATGAATAACCTCATTTAAATTATTATTTTTAGCACACAACATTCCGATCACTATTGTACCACTGTGCAATCTATCAGGCAACTCTGATCGCTCTATGCTAAATTTCATACATATGTACATAATAAATTTAGTATAAAACTTATGAACTCATTTACAATATTATTATGTTTAACATCAACATTTCCATTACTTTTGAACCACTGTGCGCTGCCTTAAGTTGCTTAGAATTGAGATGCAACGATAGACGTTGCACTGCGTCATTCCTTGACTAACCTAAGAGTCTAATCTAAGCTAAGAGTTTAATCTTCCCTTTGAGTCCTTTTCTCATTTACTCTTTAACCACTGTGCACTTACTTAGCCAGCCCAGAGCGATAATACTTTCCATATAGCGCTACATAATTAGCCAAATGCTAACTACAATTCCAGCACTTCGAGTCACATTTCGTTTGCAGTGCTTGGCCCACAGCTTTGTCTCTCTTTCTATGTACCTTTCTCTCTCCCTCTCTCTGTTTCCCTGTTGACTCTGCCACGCCACATACATATTTATTTAATGTGGCTATAACAAAGTGCACTTGGCCCAAACGGTTGCTGACTTCTGCAATGCAATTTCGCCATGGGTGGCAAACAGATTCAGTTGCATTTTAAGCGTTTAAGCATTGTGTTGCATGTTGCATTTTATTGTTGTTGCTTTTGCTGTTGATGTTGTTGTTGTTGTTTGTTTGTTTGGTTGCACAACGGCGCAGAGTTTCAAGTGTAAATTAATTTATGAGGCACGCGGCGCCGCGCTGTGCGGCTTGGGTCAGCGAATTGCGAATGGCCATAACACCCATAGAACACGCCCCCCTTTCGTTGCTGCCGCCTTTTCGGCTGACCATTTGAAATGTCAACCAAAGTGTGAAATTTTATATTGAATGATGACGTTGCCGTCGTCACTGACAAATGGAGCTGACCGTTGCATAATTGAGCAGCAGCAGCAGCAGTGGAGTGACAGAGAMCGAAGTATGCACAACTAGCTAGATACTCTATAATAAAATATTTATCTCACTTACCTATTAGAGAGCCGACGACGTAGAACGCCACGTAGAGCAAATGCAAGCAGGCAAACATTTTGTTGATTTTGTTAATTCTATCTGAAAATGGAAAAGAGAATGAAATATAAATAAATGTGAGTGGAAAGCAGGGAGTAGTTTCTATGCTATGTCTCTATAGACTATATATCAGAAAGCGCATAAATATATTTATAAAGCGACAGCCCAAAAGCAAAAGTAAAAGCACAGTCAAGTCTTTGACTCTTCAGCCGAATTGTCAACTGTAAAAT